GTGATTTTCACCCTGTCCAATATATATATATATGAATATCATACAGTGATGATTACCCTATCCAATGTATGTATGATTATCATAGAGTGATTTTCACCTTTTCCATGATACATATCATCTTATACAGGATTTATTATTATTTCTAGGATTTGTTTTGATATTTCCTAATTATTACTGTCCTTTTTTAGGGTAATTATTACCAAACGATTGTTACATTTCTCGGAATTTTCACCAGTATCATATTATGATACTTAATTTCTAATAGCACCACAATGATTCTCATTTTTTCATCACCCTAAATGAAGATAATATTTAATCTTGATTTATTACATTTGAAAGGAATTGTACGAAACTTTATATTCTTTGGACATTTTTGATGAATAACAAAGCATGAACAGTTATCTATCTCCTAAAGGTAAACGAATTAGGGATAAGAACAGTTTTCCAATATTATTAATGCGTACAAACCTATTTCACAGACAAAGTGATTAATAATTAGTAAATTAATCTAATAAAATAGTCGAAAGGAAATTAAGTTGTTTGCTATTTCATTACTGGAACGTGCAAATCAAAAATAATTTCCATTATAGCTAGTTCTGGTAACTTCCACCAGTTTATAGAATGTTTCGTCAGATATGTTGAGTTGTTTGTTATGAATTTCGCGCAAAGCTACACGAGGGCTATCTGCGCTAGCCGTCCCTAATTTAGCAGTCTAAGACTAGAGGGAAGGCAACTAGTCAGATTGCGAGTCGAGCGCCCTAACCACCTAGCCATGCCGGGCCAGATATGTTGAGCACAGGCACTTTAAAAAAGAAATATCTCCTTTGTATATACGTTTCTGTAAAAGATAAGAATTGAGACCGGTGTGTTAGTAAGCGTCTTTTTTTCTGTTACTGCATTATTAGGCCTTCAACATGAAATCTATTTATTTCAAGTTGTCTTTCTTTTTACAATTTATTATTTAACTAAATTGTGTTTCACTTTTCGTTTCCTGCATATTTTTATGCTTCTTTCGTTTTAAATTGGATATGATTATGATCAAGAAAACCAACGAATAAACGTTTTCATTAACAGAAATAATTAGAATAAAAATATTTTCTTAGAAGTAAAAGATACAAAAAATTCCTTCGAGAATCCCTTTAAAAATGTCCAATCTCGGAACCGAAGATAGGCGAACAAAATGATTGATGAAGTCATTCCTTACACAAGCAGTATACTGTTTACATACTCAATTCAACAAACACAGTGAACTAAAGGTTGCGGCAAGGTGACGCGAACCATGAGTTCTCGGCTGCAAAGTCCAGGTTTTTAACAATTAATTATTGAGGTTTCCATTGAGTTCTTTTATGAATGTTTATTCAATTAATATTTTTTTTTAAGTTTAAAACCTCGACATTGATAAACCAAAAAAGTTTTGTTGTTCTTATTTGGATATCACATATTAAAATATAATGATATAAGATATGTCATCTTCTAAAAAATAAACCCAGTTTATAAATCTATAACACTGGAAGACTAAATTATATGAAAGGACTTATAGAAATATTACTGATGAGCAATGGTTCCGAGTCAAAAGTGGTATGTCTGTGGACTTACAACGCTAGAAACCGGTTTTCGATTCTCGTGATGGGCAGAGCACAGATAGCCCATTGTGTAGCTTTATGCTTAACTTCAAAAGATAATTCTATAATTCTATACGATATATAAAATTTTAATTGAATCAATAAAAACTACAACTTTTTCTTTCTTGCACAAAATACTTTGTTGTAAACCTCCAAGACTGTACATTAAATTTCAGGAGACTGTTATTTGAACTGTAGTCGTAGCATACACATGTATATCAAGGAAAGTGAATTGAAATTACTAGGATATTTTACTAATGTAAGCAAGGACAATGGTGAAGATATGGTGTGAGAAGGGTTCACCTACTATGATCATGGAAATATTTCAAATTCAAAGACATATGACCATTGATTAACTATATGGACAGATTAATATATTTGATATACTTATTCACTAGGCAAATACAGTACAATGATATAGTTACATGATGTATTACTATAATATACTGATATATTTATTATCAAGTTATAACAGAATGCTTATTATTTCATTAACATAATTAAGGTATATTGATACCCTAATTAGAAGAATTGCAATATATTGATATACCGTTCAATTAATTAAGGTTTATTTTTACATTGATCAAACTAGTTACGATATTTTTATACGAAAAATTACATACTAGTTATACGAATTACCGTATATTGAAGTAATTATTTTAAATGAATTATTGTTGTTTCGAATTTTAATCATTCATGTTTCTCGGTAGGGCAACGGTAAGTTTACAGACTGACAACGCTAAACTCCAGTGTAAACAAAGCTCATATACCCCATTGTACAGCTGTGTATTAAAACAAAAGAACAATTCATTTCATTGCAATATTAAGATGAATTATTATTCTTTTACGAGATCTAAACGTTATTGAAATTATTTGTAAATTATAACGGCATATTTCATTAAGAAGTTACGCTACACAATCCAAGACCTCTACGGTTTCTTATTCAATATCTTGCAGTAGGACAAACTGGTTGCGATTGAACGTGGAAAGGTCGTACAATTATATGTCAATATATCGCTGAGCAGTAAATTTGCTGATCGGAACACGGTTTCTGTACTAACATGTAAATTTTGACGTTTTCAGAAAAACTCCAGAAGAGTTATATGCACTTTATACAGTCAAATCTTGACCTCCTAGTAGACTCATTAAAATCTAGTCCTGGCCAGTTGGTCACTCATAAGTTCTCCGGTTGCTAAATACCATATTGTGTCCATGGACAGGGGACTGACGATTCTTAACGACCACGTTATACAGTTTTTTAGTAGCACAATTGACATTTCACGACGTTATCCACGTTATCTAATGTACAGAATTGTCTGATAGCGTATCTGTTACCTTCTCAGGATACAGCGACACGAGGTGCCATATTATTATCCTCTACCCATCACCAGCTGGTAACTTTATTACAAAATTTTCGAGAAAAATAATAAAAGTTGAATGTATCACAAAGACAGAAAAATCAACAAATGGTTGGAACTCTGAAAATTAACATGGGTGCTTTCTTTTAAAGGAAAGTGGGAGTATTTGTAAAATGTTTTAAATTTCGGTGGCCTAGTAACTAGAAGGTCACTCATTCTCGTAGAAACATCACAACAAGAGCACGTATTGTTGCTTCCATCTTGAGGGTGCTGTTGCGCTAAACACGTATCTAATATATTAAATCCAGACTGAGTTTCAATAGTTAAAAAATCGCAAAAAAGAGGAAGACGATAAGTAATACTGTTTATGGTATGAAATGGTTTCCTTTCCTGTTGTTACATTTTATTATCATTTTTGCTCTCCCTTTACGTAATTAGTTTAAAATGCTTGAGTGATACATCTTATTGTTATCATTACATTAAAAGTATGATGGATACTGTTTGTTTAAAAGTTTCTTGCAAAGCTACACAAGGGCTATCTGGGCAGAACTCCCCCTAATTTCGAGTTGATAGAATTACATAGAAGGCGATTAGTCAACAACACCTACCGTCAACTCTTGAGCTACTATTCTATGACCGAATAGTGGGATTTTACCATAATTTTGTGTAGCGCATATAAACTTATTCATGCATATATATATAAGTATAAACAGAAGTTTTACAAGTGAATGATAAATTAATTTTATTACAGTAATTCAGTGTATACGACTTGAAGTGAAAATTAAAACGATTATCAAATAGAAGTATGAATATATATATATATTTAGTACCATGTCTAAGAAAACTGTTGTTGCACTACAGTGTACACTTTTGTTTATTATCCATACAAATTACATGCAATATAGCGTGATTTAGGTGAAGCTCTGATACCTAAACATCTCATGGAGTTTTAAGTTTCGATGAATGGATGTTTACCTATAAAACACGATATCCATGTGTATTTAAATTAAGGTGATTCTAACTTTATATTTTTCTTTTAAGTATGAAACAAACTGAATCGACTAAATAATAGAGAAACATACTTCTGAGTGATGTAAAAGTGGACTTAAAAAAAAAAAGTTATTTTGTTGAGTATTTCATAGACTTACAAACTTAGAGCTCATGTCCCATCCCATGGTGGCTGAGCGGTAAATTTGAGAGCTTGTAACACTATAATTTAAGGCTCGATCCTCGCAGTGATCACAGAATTAACATCCAAATAAACAAACAAAACATATATTTACACGTATATTATACTTTCAACGATAATTTTTATTCGTACAAATAATTTTGTATTGTGAAAAATATATGCTGACACATTCTGTTGATAATCGTGTAATGTAGTTAACTCATACTAAATATTTCACAGTAAATCCAGTACTTAACTGGCCTAGTGGTTAATGTGTCAGGACTGTGAAGTTGAGGAGTCATGGTTCGCTAACCTTTGCTGTAAAAACGTTTTCCTCACTTTGGTTTAGTGGGTGCGCTAAAAATGTGACGGTCAAATCCAAATTGATCAGATAAGAGTAGCTCAAGGGTTTCTAGTGGATACTGTTGAGTAGCTCAGTGGATACTGTAGTTTATTAGTTCAAAATGATTGGCGGCTATGCGCAAATATCATTTGTTTCGCTTCACGTAAAATTCTAAAACAAACACACACACACACACGTGTACGCAACAATATTTAACTGTTAGTAAATGTACCTTTTGTATATTTCAATATTTACTTCATCATCAACGTCGAAGGCTACAGACTATAAGTAATAACAGATACATATACTTGATGGTATGAGTCTACCACTTTTGACTTTTTTACTGTTATTTTTAAGTGTGTTTAATAACGCTCTGGTGTTTCTTATGCCTCCTTTTTTTCATATCTGCATATAGTTTTTTGTGACATGAGAGTATATTGCATTATTCTATGCATTTTTTTTGCTTATCATTTAATAGTAATATATTTCTAATGAAATTACAAGCTTACCCATCCACCCTGATGAACGATCCAGACTGCCACTTCACCTTCTACCACTGACCCCATACCTTGCACTAGGTTCAACACATATTCAGGATGACCAAGTCGAACACAGTCCATGGCTAATCCTCCAGCCACGCAATACAAAGCAATGATACGTCCCCAAGAAATGTCTTGCCGCAAAATTTCATCTGCCACTGCTCTAAACAGGTTTATCATAGCCGTTTCAGAAGCTAATGACTGGATCCCCACACCATCCATAACACTATGAAAAAGACAAGGATTTTGTCGCTCGAGAATTCCAGTCATATGGAGGAGTTGTTCTCCCACCTCTATCAGGATAGGGTCACTGGAGATCTTACTGAGGCTCCTGAGGCGTTGAAGGCCAAGTTTTTTTTGGACAGACCCGAATGATCTAAGCTTAGATCGAAGATAGCGGCCGCACAAGCTCTGGGCCTGATTTATCACGTCATCTTGTGAAACCGCCACACGCCAGCCGATGGTTGTGGACAGCTTGTGCGTCACCTGGCTCAGCTTGCGGCGCCTCACACTTGCCAGCTGAGCCTCTCGTGCATTCTCTATTGCTGCTGCATATCCGGAGAGTGAAGGTCTAGGAAACACAACCTGTAAACTCAGTTTTCGCGGACGATTGGTAAGGTCATTCCGCCCAGTCACTCCGTTGTTCATTACAGTAGTAAGTGTCATTTTAAAGTCTCGTCATTCATAAAATTAGTTCGTACTGATTCACAGATTTCTAAGACTCCAAATCATGATAGAGAATATTTGTTTAAATTTCTTTGCATGATTTACATCAACACTTATTGTACAAAGCTTGCATGATATTTGGGCAACTAACTACAGTGATCATGTATCGGGTAAACATCCAGCAAGGAATGTTTCTTGTGACGGAATACAGCTCAAAAACCGTATGACTGTTACTTGTGCGATTGGCGATAACTCTGTACGTTTCCGATAGGTGGCAGGAAAGATAATTATCTGAAGTAAGTGAAAGCAATCAATCTTTTACGAAACAAGGTCTTTTCAACCTACCCGTAATATCTCTTATGTGTAAAATTCTACAAGCACGAAAATTCGAATTGCTACACACACTGTTTAATATTCAAAACTGGTTAACACGCAAGTAACTTCGATTACTATTGGCGCTGATAATGCGAAATCATTTGCCAAAAATAACGCAATTCTCTTAAACTGATAAGTAAATTCTGGATCGTAACTAAGTTTGATTATAAGTTCACCACGAGAAAACATTAGTTTGCTTTCATTCTTCTAATCGTCGTGTTACTTATTATCGTTGTTTAAAATTTTAAAACTACCACTTCAAAGACAGATTCATGTAGTATGCATTATGCCTAACATTACAATGGCTGCAACTGAAATTGGAAATTGTTGCTTGAAGCCTTAAACATTACATTTCAGGCAAAACAAAAATCATTATTTCACTTAAGAATGCCTATAGGTGAATCAAACGTATTTTTTAATTTTGTAAAATTCGCTGTTCTTTCCGCAACTCGAAAGTTTCATCATAAAATAATCGAAAATGATGACCAACGCTTTCATATTTTTCAAACGAAGAGACTTTTGTAGTTAACATTACTTAACAACAAGCAACTGTAGTGTCACTCTTATAATGGCCCGGCATGGCCAGGTGGTTAGGGCGCTCGATTCGCAATCTGCGGGTCGCGGGTTCGAATCTCCGTCACACCAGACATGCTCGCCCTTTAAGCCGTGGGGGCGTTATAATGTGACGATCAATCCCACTATTCGTTGGTAAAAGAGTAGTCCAAGAGTTGGCGGTGGGTAGTGAGTACTACCCGCCTTCTCTCTAGTTATACACTGCTAAATTAGGGACAGCTAACGCGGATAGCCCTCGTGTATCTTTGCGCAAAATTCATAACAAACACACTTTTTAATTAATTGAATTATAAATGCATCCACAGAAAAAAGAGAGTGATTTATAAAAAGAGTACATGTAGACATTGTTCATCTACTTCTTGCAACTGTTTTTCAAAAACCAATAAGTGTAAAAATGTTGTACTCAGTATATTTTAGAAACATGAAATTTTCACTCTACTATCAGAAAAAAGAAGCAATTATGATTTTTATCGCAACTCATAAATATTTAAAAAGAAACTCCCTAAAAAAAGATACAAAATTTCTTTCAGTCCAATTTATCTAAGTGTGTGTTTTTATATGTAGACAGTAAGTGACGAAAAACTTACTTGTTTCATTCTTTATCTAAAAACAGATATATAATGATTTTTAGAAATCATTTACCATAAGACAAGGCTTAACACAAATTACAAAGCTATACAAAAGAATTCGTAACTAACAAGACCAACTGCCAAAAATTTCTGTTCCATCGTGTAACTCATTAATATGAGATCCTTCTAACACCTGTCTAGCTGTGATAATCTCGCATGTATTTCATATTTCAAATTGAAATCAATAATCGGGTAAAAAACTTTATTTAAAATAAGGTAAAGTACTGGTTAAATTGGGTAATTTAAAAACCAAACTTACGTAATTCGACACCTGTATGAACTGTAATATAAGGGACCCTTCACGAAACACGCCAAACTCCTTCGTTGGATATTTATCTCCTGGGGATGAACTTTCAGTATAGGTAATATTATTCCTGTATAGAGAGATAAAGGTGAAAAAAATTAACATTTTAGGGATGTTATGCCAGGAAACTAGTGTGTTTTGAGCTATTTGCAACTCCCCCTGTGGTAACATCCCTACCTGTAATTAAACATATTAAATATTATTATGAGATTTAAATTATATTCTTAAGTTTCACAAAGGTAGTCTCTCTTGGAAAATCCGAAAATGTATTTCGGTATGGTCATACTTTTCTTTGTTGGTCTCACGTTATAAGAGTCTGACAGGGTAACTTGGAAGGTCTATTGGTCTTAAGATTCTACCGTGAAATATAACCCTTACAAGAAACATGCAACTAAACTGTTTCTCAATATTTTCACATAACTTACATTTTTTCTAAACAGTTTTTTTTACCTTAAAATGTATGCGTTGCGTTATTTTAATATATTAATAATTTTTCTGAGATTTGTAATAATTTTGTATTGGCATTGTGACTAATAAAAAGAAAGAAAGAAGAATATTCATTTACTACTTTCAACAACTACACAAGATGGCTAAGAATAATTTATAAATTTCATTTGAAGTGTTCATATTCTCTCTCAGGGGAGTGAAATGTTCATATTTCATTTCAGGGAATGAAATGTTCGTATTTTACTTCAGGGGAGTGAAATGTTCATATTTTATTTCAGGGGAATGAAATGTTCATTTTTTGACCAAGGCAAGTGAAAAAGTTTGCTCTTTAAGCTAAATACCTTACAAATATTCATTTTATTCGAACGAAAGACCTAGCGTTTGATTTGTTTTGAATTTCACGCATAGCTACACGAGGACTATCTGCGCTAGCCGTCCCTAATTTAGCAGTGAAAGACTAGAGGGAAGGCAGCTAGTCATCACCATCCACCGCCAAATCTTGGACTATTCTTTTACCAACGACTAGTGGGATTCACTGTCACATTATAACGGCCGCACGGCTGAAAGGGCGAGCATGACTGGTGGGATGAGGACTCGATCCCGCGACCCTCAGATTGCGAGTCAAGTGCCCTAACCACCTGGCCATGTCGGGCCCCTGACCTAGTCATTAGCGAGCCTGTTAATCCAATAATTCATAGTTCGTGACTCAATGCCTTAATAACGCACTCCGTACTTTGGCGCTGTGGGTGCGCCACAGGAATGACGGTCAAATCCCATTATTCAACCAAACAAGAGTAGACCAAGTGTTGGTGGGGTTCGCTTGACTAGTTGACTTCCTTCTAGTCTATCAGTTTAAAAGTGGGAATGCCTGTACGAAGATAGTCCTTGTGTAGCTTTGCGCGAAATTCTGAAACAAACCAAGTTGAATGTAATCTGAACCTTCCGGTAAAAACCTAGGGAGTGGATAAGATATGAGCGGACGCGTCTTATGCAATGGGCTGAACCTTTCTTCTTTTTAGAATAATACGAATTGGTAAATAACATCACTCTGAATTTTCAGCATGCGCTTTGGTTGGTTTTTTTTTGTTTTAAAACGTTCTCGTAAATACTATTAATTGTTACAGGATAAAAGGCCTGAACTGAACTAGACACACAATAGCTATTATCAAGACTGGCTCACATATTCTAAGATTAAAAAAAATATTCACTCTTCTCATATGCATTGTATGTTATATTTAAAAAATATTCACTCTTCTCATATGCATTGTATGTTATATTAAAAAAATATACACTCTTCTCATAGGCATTGTATGTTATATTAAAAAAAATATTCACTCTTCTCATATGCATTGTATGTTATATTTAAAAAAATATTCACTCTTCTCATATGCATTGTATGTTATATTTAAAAAAATATTCACTCTTCTCATATGCATTGTATGTTATATTTTAATTAGAAACCTGCCCACACTATTCTATTGTTTGATTTTATACATATTTGTTAACTGGCTATGTTTGTATAAATACTATACACAGCTGACCGCCTTTTATTTTGTTACACCTATTTCTCAGATTTCAATGTAGTTTATTATATATATATATATATATATATAAGGACCACGCCCTAGTCACGAAGTCTCCCATTACCCTAAAAAAGAGAAACCCTTACAAGTGTGGTGAAATTCATTAGAAAAATTACAACTATGTGATCGGTAACTTTCATGCAGGTTATACTAACGCCCAGCATCTCATGCATTGGAGCATCGTCAATAAAGTTACATTTTTTCACGATGCTTGCACCAGAACCCATAACTTACTTTCTCTAACGTAACACACAAACATGCACCCATGCACACACATCAATATCCAATGCCTTGAGAATTAGGCTAGGTGTGGCTTGATGGTTAGCGTGCTGGTTTTCAGGTCAAAATAACCAAGGTTTGAGTCCGTATATGCCGTATAAAATGCTCCACACGTTTAGCTGTTTAGTTAAGAATAAACTCCAGTCAGCAGTTCTCAATTAGGGTCTTTTAGGGAGCGCTATGTCAAGATATTTCATGAGGTGTCTGACCTGACTGCAATAGAGTAAGGTGTTTACCACTGGGGTGGGCGTAGGGAGAATGCAGGCAGTGTGAACACGCTCTGCAGCACATGCATCTACTTCCACGGGAAGGCCTTACCTTCAACGTATTTAATAGTGGCTAAATACGCTGTTCACTGCAGTTACAGTATCAGGGCCAGTATACGTTTGTCACATTTTATAGAACTGCAATCATTATTTAAACGTTTATAACGAAATGAATAAAAATAAATTAGACAAACACTGTGAAGAGTGTCCAAACATTTTGCATAGTTACGACCTCAAGTTATGTACTGTATAAATACTGAAAAAGTTGGGTTTGTTTATAATTAAGCACAAAGCTACACAATGGGCTATCTCTGCTGTGCCCACCACGAGTATCAAAACCAGGTTTCTAGCGTTGTAAGTCCGCAGACATATCGCTGTACCACTGGGGGGTACAGAAAAAGTATATATGTCTCAAACTGAATAAAACGGTGCATAGCAGCTCTAAGAACAAGCTTTCTTTAATGTAGGTTTCAACTCTGGCAAAGAAGTTGTTGCTCTTGTTTGTTTGTTTGTTGTTGTTTTTTTAGCGCAAAGCTACACAATGGGTTATTGGCCACTAGGAATTTAGCATTGGATTTTAGCATTGTAGGTCCGTAAATTTATCGCTGACACACTAGGGAAGTTAT